TAACAATCTACCAACAGACGCACACTTACCAACGAGCTTGGCCCGTGATCTCATGTACTCGGCAGAGGTACTTTGAACATCTTGGGTGGGTTGTTTTGCGAGTGACGGCGACGACGACGACGTATTCTCACACCGAAGACTCATTTGTAAGATAGCGAAAGTGGCAACGACATGGTGTTCCTTTTCAACACAATTTTTGTACTGGAGGATAGGGTTGTGAGATGCGAAAGTGGCAGGAGAGGAAGGATGGATGCGTAAATTTGGCCACTCCCTAAGAGGCGATGTTGGTTGGGGAAGGGAATCAAGGATGCAACACTTAAGTCTCTGTAAAACGTAGAAGCAGCATAGGTGAAGTCAGGGTCGTTGAAGTGACTCTACTTGTTCAGAACAGTCTTGATGATGTGGTGTCATATGGATTGCCAGTTAGATTTAGAAGTGAATTGTCGGGAGATTGCGGTGTAAGGGACAGTGATTTTAGTTCTATTGTCTATTTCTAGTCCACAGACACGATAATAAAAGTTGTATCCACATGGGATCTTCCGTCAGACACTCACTAATGACACATTATTATGTCATAAGTCATCCAATTTATATTTGCTTGCTGACTTTTAAATTCAGTGGTTGTTTTATAGATCGTCTGACACTGCGGTTAGGGACGTTTCTTCATCCGTACATTACTCGAAGATGACAACAGGGAAGTTGATAATGGCACAGCCACTTTCGATGAAAATGTCGTCGTACTTGCAAAAATTCGATTCTCCATTGCCTCAGATTTAAGGATGGATTCCTCAAATCCTAGAGCTTTCTTACTTGGCGTCCAACAGCTCATCCGAATGCTACTATGTCCTCGGAGTTCCACTTTTTGCGAGCTAGTCAGAAATTACTCAAATCCGAGAGAACTTTGCAAATTTTTAAACAACAGTGTTCACTGGCGATGTGGTGGTGGTCTCTTCTGCCACCAGTTTCGCAGCGGAGGATGATGAAGCTCACAAAGGTTGTAGACAGGGCAAAACTGCATAACGCGGGTGGGATCGAAGTGGCGAAGGAGTTGGGTTATCTGACGACTTTCAAAGAAGCAGCACCAGTTCTGGGCTAAGAAAAAGAAAGCAACATAGGCGTAAACGAATTTGAGGAAGTGACAGCACACGATCAAGTTATTGTTGTTTGAAGACAGGAAGTCATATAGGTCAGCAAGATCACATGACCGGGGACCTGAGAACCTTGACAGATTCGGAGATTTAGCGAACTAATCACAACGCTAGAGGAAATGATTAAGATGCCCTTCACTCAGCTAAAAATCTTCTTTTGCCGCGTGCCACATAGTATACCGAAAAAGTGTGTGTCGGTATTCAGTGCCTGTTAGTGTGTGGCTTGAGGGACGCAGTGGCAAATATGCAAGCCTAGCGAAGTAATTTGGTACACCGATTATGTGCTGAGTGTTTGTGCGGCAAATAAAATGGCTTTACGTGCAAGCTATCACCGCTTTCAACACGCCTCAATCTGATGCGACAGTCCGTGGAATCAAAAGCCTGCATGACAAGCATTCTGTGGATGACCCCAGTTGATGCCCTTTCCCTCGTCTAGAACGTACCCATTCCACGACAAGAGGTGGATGATAGGGCAGAGGTGGAGCATTCCTATCTGAGATAAATTTATCTGCGATTCCTCACTCTGACCGCCTTCCTGCCCAAATGGCTCGCCTGGTAACCTCGAATTGAGGCCTTCGAGTGATTAGGCACTTCTCGTGCACCGTCAGCATTCGTGGGCAGGATATGTGTTGCGGCTCTAGTTTGGGGTGTGGTCATCCCCATTTATCGACGACTGCTACTCCTGCCCTTCCATTTACCTCAACTGTGTGGAAGGGGGTTCTAGCGACACTTCTTGTCCTCCACTCACCTGGATGAAATATGATGCCAATGCAATGCAGACAATGGTATACGGGATCATGCTTGTACCGACGAATAATCAAATTAGATCATGAATATCACCAACTTTGCAGTTTTTTTCAATTTTATTAGAAATAAAACTTTTCACAAGTCAGGTACATAAAAAGGATGCATAGAAGTAGGCCAATATTATGGAATTTACTACATTAAGCCAATGTCTTCGCATGTGTTTGGGAGCTCATCTTATAGGTTAATCAGAAATAGCGCAGTGGAACAACCAATCACAAGTGCGGCAAACTGGTCAATTTTGCCTGCCAGATATTTGCGAAGGAAATGATGCCTGCAGTACTACCCTACGAGGAGCATCTGAACTCAAATTAGTACTCAGAATTCCTGCCCCACAGATGATGGACGGATTAGCGTGAAATTGACACTGCCACATCCCTGTCCATCCAACGTGGCCTCTCTCATCAGTGACCATGCCATTCATACACGTTGTTTCAGCTGACCGAGATTTTTTAGCGCCACGTCTGTTTTCTATTGCAGTTAGTAGAATTGACAAGTTCCATCAAATCTGGATTTAACCCTCCCTCCACGTGCCTTCGAATGTTCGCCTCCCTACGCACCTGACGTCGGTAACTCACGGGGATGTGGAGCCTTTAACGAGGTGGCTACGGAAACCCAGCAGAACCAATTGAATTTAATCGGCAAATTTTCACGAGGGGAGTGGATACCACTAGACAAAAGTGTACGAAAGCACCGTGAGCAAGGATTTGCATTAACCTGGTTTGAAATTGAAGAGAATTTAGGGCCTTGTGAGAATATGTGTTCGGGGCTCGTTGCTTGTCCACTTCTTGAGTCTAAATGCAATGATATTGATATAAATTTGTGCACATCTACACGGAGTTGTTGAGGCCCTTGCTTGGAATTAATTTGGTGCCGTGGATGTACATTCACATCCTCAACTAATTTGGTTGATTTTGAAGTGACCTGAAGCCTTGCAACATAATCGGACGTCTTGAATTTGTGGCTCATTTCAGCCTCGGTTGCTCCAACCAGCGGAAAACCTTGAAAACCATTGGCCACATCTAATAAGAGCGTCTGCTCTATACTCTAACTCACGACACCTTGCTATCAAAGAACCTGTTAATCGCTAAGCCCGTCAACCTAACTCGATGAAGTCAAGGTTTTAAATGGTCGTTTCAGCAGAAATTTGTACTCATCAATCAACCGATGTGACTGTGTTGCTTGAAGAATAACACAGACGTGGAAATTGATCTCTAAGAGCCAAAATTTGGGACAAGGGAATATGTAACGACTTGTTCCTCACAGCGAATACACGAAAATCTTGGGAACCATTTGACCGTCAAATACGTCATCCCGAGTAGTCAAATAAAGCCTGCAATTGGTCGCTCAAGGTCATGGTGGAGGGAACTTTCGTCCCGTGATTCACACCGACGATAAGCCAAGGACGCATGACAGCAGTCATGTGCAAACATCGGCTGAGCAATAATCGCATTTTGCATTCAAACAAGTTAACGACGTAACTACCGAGAAGCAGCGAGTAAAATGTCGGTTTCGGCAACATCACACACTTGTGTACCTTAGTTGGCGCTTCTGGTTTACTATTCCTGTTCAAAACTGAACAAATAGCTGTTATTGTGTTACTTAGACAATTACAAGTTGAGTCAACTCCACCAAAGCAAACATTTGGCAATAGTGCGCCCAAAGTGAGCTACTTTTCGATAATAAATCTGTGACTTCGTGGAGGCACTGGATACATTCAACACTCCAAAGTTAACTGTGGAAGGACATCGTTGATGGCAGGCGAGTTGGGGGGTGGCATTGAAGTGGTGGAAATATCACGGGTTAGGAAATTTTGTGAAGCAATTTATTGAACCGTACACAGAGTCGGTACAATTGGCTACATATGATCGCATCAGACCAAGAAACGCATTAACGTGACTTATGTAGGCGTCTGGAAGGGTTTCAGCAGTTATCAGGGCCAGCTGACACTTTAGAACACATGGCATTCGTCGGAGAGACCACACTGTGATCCCGATCAATGTTGAAGCAGTTATCGACTCAAATCGTTAGCCATCCCGAGGAATGAAATGCAGTGCAGTTATGACCGCCAGTTTTATAGTAACACACACTATTCATTTTAACAATCGACTTCCCCAGACATAAAATTACAATCAGTAAAGTCCCAAAACTGCCCCACTTGAGCTTATTTTCCAGAAGTTTAACTACAATGCAATAATACCAGTGTAGGCCAACTGCAGAGCCTCTATTATTAGATGGGAACCAGCAGCGAAACTACTGAAATAAGAACGGGAATATGTGGAAGAAAGCATGTGTTCTTTTCATAATGCAATCTAACCGTCATGTAAATGGCTAAAATAACTGGTGGCGTAAAGTGAGACTGTTGACGCACCCAGGGCTGGAGGTCGAGCAGTTCGAAAAGCGGGTTTCACATTCATGATGAGGAAGAACCAGTGAGTGCCGACAATGAAGCAGTTGGGAATCTCAAGCAAACAGTAGTTGGAGCAACGCATAGTATACGTTGGATTCGCAAACGTAAGGGAGGGAGTAGCAGCCGTCGGGTCACGGCGTTGGACACAAATGTTGGAGGATAAGGAGGGATGCCCCATGACGAATAGGCTTCGATTCGAGAGAACCAGGCAAGCTAACAGGATGGGAAGACAACCAGAGTGAGGAACCTCAGGCAAAGTGATTATGGGTAGGGGTACTCCACCGTCTACCTAATATCAAGGAATAGAACACCATTGAATGCCTTTCCCAAGATAAGCAAAGTTACACAAAAACATGCAATATTTTCGTAACATAACTGCATATTCATTTCTTCTAATAACAACCCAACCAAAATGTTCAAAGTACCTCTGCCGAGTACATGAGATCACGGGCCAAGCTCGTTGGTAAGTGTGCGTCTGTTGGTAGATTGTTACAAACCACGATTGTTTGATCAGTCTAGATTTAACAGATTTGGCAATTTTTAAGCATACATCGTGCACACCGTGAGTGCAGAAGCATTAAGCCTCCTTGAATGTGAGGCCTGAACCTTATTACTCTATTTTCGAGTGATCTAACCAGGCCAACTTCAAGCAGCGAACGTGATTGGTTGAAGAAATATCCCTAACCGCAATGTCAGACGATCTACACGAATTAAGACGTTTTAAATATCCACCGAATTTAAAAGTTAGCAACCAAATACAAACTAGATGACTAATGATATAATGGTTCAGCAATAAGGGGGCCATCGCAAACTAAATGACTACTTTTTAATGCAACAAATTTCCTTCAGTGTAATTGTGAACCTCAAGTGGACACTGCCAGCTGATTTCCCAGATGGATTCAAGCAGACCACCACCGCCACCACCAGGCGGACAATATCACCTACCTCGAAAGCAGAGGCAGCGACACTGGAGATACCATCGTGCTCATCGCCTGATCCTTGCACATCGTCCAAATGACCCGCCTGTGCCACATCCTTCGCCGCGTTGCCATCATCGCCGCCACTCGTTGTTACCAACTTAAAGGCATTAGGTGAACGCTGCCCACTCACGCTGCGTAGGTTCAGAGCTAATCATTCTCCATTCACAGGCAACCCTACCAATAGCTGCGTTGTCTTCTTCGCTAACAAGTCTCTGATTTCCAGGAATGGAAGGAAGTTGCTTGGCCATTCAAAATGCAGATTTCAGATGAGGTAGACAAGGATCTTAACTACATCCAACAGACTGTAATAGCTACAAGTTCAGACAACAGCGATAGTTACTACTTGCAAAGCAGTAATTTTGATGTTAAAATGGAAAGTCACACTGAAATTCACAAAAACATATACACCACGCGCCAGTGAATTTTAAAAGCTAGTATAAATCAGGATCATCACTGATATTTCATAGACTGCAACGATATGTATTTTACCATGTCTCGACGTATCAACCCCTTGGTAATGCCGTGAATGGCCTTTAGTTATTGAGTTAAACACCTGTGAGTTCAATCGGCATGATCCATGTATAATTAAAACGAGGACTTAGGTCAGTCCTTTGTCCAGCATACTTCATTTGCAAATACAGGTGGTCTTAAGTTACAGAAATCGCATATAAGTAGTTCAATTAGATTAAGTCATCAAAGACACACGACAAGACGTCATGCGAAAAGTTATCGCTGCGGTGGCTTATGTCATTATCTGAACTACTCAACGATGGAAATCGAACCTCCTTCCTTGGGTTTGTCTTTCCCAATGTCCTTTAATGAGCGTACGTCAAAAAGTACAGGGTACAATTTGTAATACACTACACAAACGTTAAGCAAAGAAAATAAAATGAAGTTAAGCTGTTACTAGTTATAAGGACCTGGTTTCTGAAATCCCTTAATTGTCATTGATCATACACTGAACAAAGAGAATGCCTGCTCGTTTAATCAGGCCTAGTATAATTCAAACGTACATTATTAACAAAATATTCCCTGTGACATGGAGTCGTAAGGTATCAGAATAGGATCTCTGCAGCTGACGTGACCAAATACAACACATTAAATAAAGAAGGCCGAAAATGAATTTATATTTCGGGCAGTCGAATGCGGAAACACAATTAAATACATTGGCCAGTGCCTCATAAAGCAACGCATGACAAAAGCTCTACCGTCAACAATAAAAGAAACATCGAAACTCAAAATAAAATGTTAGATTAGCGGTTGTCACCGACACTATCAAAAAATTGCACAAATGGCATCATTTGACGAAACTGCAGGATTCTACATAACTTATATAAAATAAGGGCCAGAAAATACAGAGCAAAATCTTGAAAAACGATGTTGACAAAAAATAACGTGGTGCACGCACTAAGCCGACCAAAAACACTTAAAAATTGTTAACATAATTACCAAAATATTAAATACTTGCTTCTGTAACAAATTTTGACTATTTTTAATTATGAAAAGAAAGAAAGACAGAGAGTCGAAAGCAAGCTGATTTTAAAAGTTAAACACTAATTTAAAGTAAGATAAGTACATATAGGTGACATCAGTGCAGGCCAGAAGCCAGACTTATTTGAAAATTGTGGGTTCATTATCAGGTTAAACAAATTAGAACAAAAGCCAAAACTTAATAAAAGAAAACAAACTTAGATTTAATTTACAAAAATATGTTACACATTCGACTGGAATACTCTTTAATAGTGTACGAAGTCAAACGCAATAGGCTCATCAATGAAGAGACACTAAATCCAGATAAATTCATTGGGTCAGTTTATTAAATTGTGCCGGTCTTACATCAGTAAAACTTTAATAATACTATGTAACATCAGAAAATTTTTACATACAGGGATGCAAATACAGTTTTATTTCTCAGTAATCAATTTGGAAATTTAATAGTGCATTATAGAAAATGTAAATATTTGCACCAGATTCACCACAGATTACAACTGCAATTTTATTCCTGTATGATGTGGCGAATTTAAAGGCGATTAAACTATATGCATGACAGTGTGTGGTTTGTGTGATCATTAATTGTTAACCGTATGGCTTAATGATTTCCTTTGGTGAGTAAAACTTCATCGTGTTTAAACAAAGACCGTATTTTCCTAATTAGAATGGATTATGCAATATTATTTTAAAATTTGTATTGGAAAAATGAAACGCCAACATTTTTTTAACGTTCTGTCAATAGCTATTCAAGCTACCTTAAGACGTCCATATTGACACTTGAATTGACTTAAAATATGAAGAGGACCGTAATTTTTTTTACGTGTTCACAGCGGCCACCATTTTCTAGTAAGTAACACTTTTGTGTACTGATATCGCTAAGCAAAAATTTATAGTTTTTTAATCAAAATGCATTCAAATAATATTGAGAAAATTTGAGATCACTGTTGTGTTTACAATTCACGCACAGTAGCACTTACATTTTAATTCCGGGTTTTTTCAATGGTTTTATTTGGTTTTTTTTAACTAAGCTCCAGTAAATATTGTGTATCACATAAAAGGCAAAATTAAAACTATTGTTACCTGACCAGCAATTAAGGTTTAATGCTCCAACGTCTATTAAGGTAGCTTTTATATATATTAATTGTCGTTTTACTTAGTTGTTGATTTAAAGATATGTAAGTTTTCCTTACACCTACGCAAGCGTCACTGTTCGATGAGTAGTTTTTCTATTTGTGACGAATATTTTAAAATAGTTGGATAGGAATAAAACTTTAGAAGTCAAAATATTTGTTGAGAAAATTTTGCCCAAACCTTTTGCCTCACGCGGTAATTTAGCACGTGACCAAATTCACATACGGTCACGCAGACAGCATACTAAGTTGTCCACTAAAGTGATCATTCAACGACATAACTAAGAACTAAGTCACCATTCACAGATTCACTAAAGAAATTTGTCGAGTTGTTATTCTTGCACAAATTTAAAGTTATCTTTTGCATGCATGCACAAAGCAAGTTTAGCTCAAAGAATAAATTTTAAAATAACACGCTGCAAATTGCTTCTATTAATGCTTCACAATCATCTGCATTAATGCTAAAGCGTGTTGTGTATGTGTATGGGTAATACATGTATCAATATTTATCGCACAAATTGCGCACTTTTCATTTAGTATCATCTCTCACAGATGTTGCCCGATTGTAAAAAATGCAAAGTATTTTCTAATTATATGTGATCTTAAGTTGTACTAGGCTAATAAATGTCTTCAAAACTTTCAAAACAATTGGTTAACCTTAAAAAGAGACCTCGTTGTAGTTGAACACAAAGGATGCTCCAATAGACCGATTTGTTGAAAAATGAATTTTTTTCCGCACTTGAGACAAAATAACTCATCATGTTAATTTTAAAATGAGTAATTCTATGTGTTAAATAATATAAATACTGCGCAGGATGTGATTTCGTTGACATGCATTAAGGGCAGTGATTTCGGAACTTGTGCATTTCTCGTACTTAAATTTGCAAATTTACCATGCAATCTATTTGGGAATAAGGAACTGCTACCATGGAATTCATTAGAACCCTGATGGTGAAAAACACTTAAAAATGGCCATGGAGGAGTTGGATAAGTGACGTAAATAGTGAATACATTTTAATTTTTTTTGCGTATGAGAATGAGGGTATCCAGTCAACCTATTCTGATTCAGAAACAGAGGAAACTGCTTAATTTTTTTAAATTATCATGCATCTTTCTTAACAGCGAGACTGGAAATCAACGCAGAATCGTTCTAAATATTAAATCCGTATTGAATTAGCATTTGAATTTAAAGGAAAAATAATGGTGACAAATTATGGAAGGCATTAAGCATTTCGCTTTGAACAGAACATCTAATCCATCAGCATGTTTAACCCAGTGTATTGCAGGAAATCTTATTAAATGACTGCCTTCTAACATGAGGGATTTTTATATTTAATAACAGTAAGGGTATCTCGGTTTAGTGGCTATACCTATTTATGCCCACCATTACAAAACGCGATTGCATTTCTCAAGCAAAATCTTCTTTAATAAACCGTGTGTAAAATTTATATGTTAATCCTGACTTAACCATTCTTAATTCTGATTCTAACTGAGTGTCATCCATATATTTGGTCTTAAACATTTGATGTTTTTCAAGAGATGACATAGATGAAACTCGAAATAATTTGCTTTGGCAAACTTGTTCTTAAAACCGCATTCAACAGTTACTGACAAAAATTTAAAATAGAGGAAAACTAAATTGCGGAGAATTTAGAAAAGGCATTGTGTTGCTTAAATAATACCGTGTTTGTAACGACGAAACAGCATGCGATATAGAACTACTTCCCGGTTTAAAAGAAATATCAATTTAATTCGAACTTGATAAAATAATGAGTTTATTATTTATCCTGAATTGATGTGGTAATGCATCTAACTTTCTTGTTGGTAAAATAAATGATCCATTAGGGCATTATATTTGTTTCACTGATGTTAAATAACGACTTTAGCACGTGGTAACGGCCATTTTAGACAAAAAATACCGATGAAACGTGTGGTCTAAATTAATTCTTCATGGTAAGTGATCGAAATACAAAAGTAAAGCCTGAAGAGGTAGGCTACTGGGTTCACAAAATGCACACATCACATTAATTTCATGCAAAGTTGTTGACAGCTGGGGGGTAACGTCAGTAATATCTACGTCCACTAACCTGAGTATTAGTTCATTCACACTTGACTTTCGTCTTCTAATGTTGAATTTCCAGACTTTGTTATGCGCAGCAGCAAGTCAAAAAAGTTTACAATATAGTCTACTGTAATACTTCGTTTAAGTGTTAACAACCTCACCAATTGTACTGTATTACATTTATTTTCAATTGCAAGTCTAAGGCCCTTTTTAATTTAAGTAGAACGCCTCAGTACAAAATTGTGACAAAACATTTTGTCATATTTATGACGCTGATTTTGCCGCTTAGCATCAATTTATAAGCTTTTATTTTATAGAAATTCAATTTTGAGTACTTAAGTCCCAAAATGTTGAAGACAGATATAACGTGGAAGTTTATTTGACCTACAACTGGCAAAGCCATACGTTTATTGTTATACACTTTAGCTCCAAAACTTGTGCTTTAACCGCATGTGTACTAGGTTATTTTGCACGTTTTAAAAGCACGAATACTAGCTGTACCCTTAAAAGCATTTCGAATATTTTTTCTCTAAGCTAATGTCATGCTATTCGTCGCAACTTAATTCCAGGTATCGTAGATTTTCCACACTGGCCGGTTTTTGTCATAACTTTAACTGTTGACTAATTGTAATCTCTTGTTAAAAGGATTACAATTACAATTCTGTAATGTGGCATTAACTAAATTTTTTGATAGTCTAATAAAATTGAATTTGAGATTCTCGTCATAGATTTTGGAATATTCGGATACGTGGGTGTCAGCCATGAACCAAAGCTTCCAGGTTCTAGCAACTACCGTGGTCTACTTTTGTATAAGTACAAAGTATAATCTATACTATGCTTAAAAGTGAACCAAAGAATTAAATATGATGCAAGAATTTAGGTGCTTTAGACATTATTGCCTATACCGCAATGCTGTATTATTATTCTTCTGTGTAATTGTAAAACAATATGTATTGTGATTTAATTATCACCCTTTGTTTGTTTCAAATACAAAGGAGCAAAATACCTGAGATTGTTATAAATCGCGTTGATTCACACTCGTAACCCCGTTCACTCCAGTCTCCTGTGAAGGGTTCCCCTTTTCGTAGCATGTCGCCAGTCGCACTAATCCTCAACTTCCTCTTATTAGATCAACCAATTATTTTAGATTATCCTCACACCTAGGTCTCAATGTCAGCGCATATTTAATTCACACACCTGAGGTGTTAATTAAAAACGCGCATATGCCACACACAACACAACGACATTAACTAAGTTGAGGTTAGATATAAATGGTTGTGTCTCCCTCCTATCAAGTCTATTTTAAATCTTTGGGAAGCAGAGAAGAGTAATCAGGCCAAAGTTAATTCAATGGACATGGCGTGGTTTGAGATTACATGCTGGGGTCCATAACAATTTAAAAGCATTTAGCATTTATTAAAATAGTGAACAAACCCAAAACTTTTCCATTTCTGTATGCAACATAAGTCTTTATTAGATGCAGTTTTAGACTTCATGACTCATCTCTCATATCCTAGTTAATTTAACAACTATGCAAGATGATTGAGACATCAACGGAAGGTCGAATATTAATAGTCGCAGTCGACTAAATGTTTGTGTTGATCTCGTCGCACCCGAAATCTGTTTGCAACGTTCACGTTGATTTTATAGATTAGAATTCAAAAGGATCGGATTCTGTGGCGTATAATGCCTTAATATGTTTAAAGTGGACTAGCCTAGCCTAGTATACTTCGCAATGTGTCTATCGCTACACTTTTTTTAGTACACAAATTTATTAAAGTTCTCACATTTTTGCTTCCCTTTATCGTTTTTGCCATCTCAAGAAAGCAATGAACTTGGAATTTTGATGAATAATTGAGTCAGACGGAATTAATTGTGGTAAAAACTTATAGTACATAAAATGTTTTGTGATAGAATGAAAAGATAAAATCTAAAAATAAAGATGACCATGTCACATTTTAGTTAAAACAAGGTTGGTTAAAGAAACTGCAATTATATTGTCAGCATTTTCAGTGATGTTCATTTTGTATTATCCAAATCTTACGGATACGGACTAGCGGTCTTTTTGATTATTAAATATTTATCCTTTCGTTGGCACTTATTTTTATAATTTAAATTTACAAATAATTTTTCCTTCGAATATAAATACATTCGGTTCAATGCTCCGTTGCGTTCCCGAGAGATGATCAAAAGGTGATATTTAAATTATTAAACTTCCATACAAATTTTATCTGAAGTTAACCAGTAATTAATTAACTTATTTTGATATCCAAAAAAGCAAATGAAATTAGTGAATTCTAAATGAATACAAACGACAAAGAATTTTACTTAAGTTTGACAAGCAAAATTGAATTCTAAATCTGCACGTAAATTGCACTACAATGAGAAAACCCAAGTCAACGATGTCGCTTGTGTAGATTTGTATTTACATACAATGAAATCAACACATTGGTGATTAAATCATAAAAATAATGAAGGCGAAACACTAAAATTAGAATCATATATGATTCGTGAAAATGTAAAGAGTTTACTTTTGGGAGCGAACTCATAAAATTTAATGTTTCTATTGTCATTTGCATCAGTTCCACTTTAGACCCAGAAATCAACTCTGAAAGTGTGCAATATTGTTCAAAGCATCATTTTACTATCATATTATGTTTACATATAAATGTGTACCCGTAGTTATTTTACTGATTGTAGTCTCTAGTGCTCAAGTTTCTTGATGTTAAAAATTAAAAAAAAACAATTTTTAATTACTTAATATTTTTTTGAAGCCTAAAAGTATCCCTTTTTCTGCACAGGTCTGTTATTGTTATAGTGTACTGTACTTTTTAGCCTTGACAAAATACCGCCACATGCGGAAATTTTTGCTTTTAACAAGTGAGCGCGATGGGTTATTCCATCTTGCACTCTACTACAATGCCAGATTATTGCCTCGTAATTTAATGAATGCAGTAGGCTTTATGCAAGATTTTAACTAGAAATGTAATTTTGATTGTGTATTAGTTTAAAATAATGATATGTTCTTACTTTATCATTTATCAAAGTTTTAGTGTATTAGGAAATTTTTTTGTCTCGTGCATATTAAATTTAATGCAAATGTACATTTGGCATTTGAATGTGTCGATATCTTGTATTGTATATTGTCCTATCAATAATTTTTTTCTGGAATGTAAATAATGTAAAAGAGATCATATTGCTCTAGGTATTTGTGTACGTTTTTTATCTTTGTTTGGCTTTTAAAGTTTTTTGAATGGCACAAATTCTGAGGACTACTTTCTGAGACTAATGAACGCAGCTGAGTGTCACTAACGATGTTCATTTATTTGATAATGAGCAGGAAAATGCCGTTTTACGCTTAGTTTCAACACTGGAATAGTTAGTTGGCCTCAGTTAACAAGTCTGGCCTATGTAAAATTTTTACCGTGGTTGTGGTTTGTCACTTGGGTATTCGTGTGTGGCAGTATTTACTTCAGTGATATAAATTTTCACCGTGACATACTTGAACAATGGAATAACCTGCTCCTACAATGTAATTGGCGAATATATTTGAAGATACTGACTTTTTAATAAACATTCATAGAATAATAGCGATGTCCGTATGTTGGTATGACATTAAAATTTCTTCGGTATACATGGGGCAATAATTTTCGGTAATACGAAGAAGCCATTTGTATATATTAGCAGGCTTTCCGCGATGAAATTGTCTTAAGCACCATGATTTAAGCTGTAAGAATGGCATAGTAAGTGTCGAGTTGACATCCTCTTCCACGATTATGTTTGGACGACCTGCTAGGTTGACCTTCATCCGGGTTCATGATCTTGCCTGCTCAGCATGCTGGATGAATTAAACTGTTTTCCTTCACAGATGTCGCGTTCAATAACTCAGCGTTCACATCTTAAGGATATATACCAACTGTACCGGACGATTGAGACGGCAACCGATGGCCAGGCTTCAATAATCTCAGTCAGTGAAATGTCAGTGGTGATCTCGCTGCACCCTAAATCTGGTTACAACGCACATGCTGCCTTCACTGTGAAAGTGAGTACACGAAATGCGATTATTAAGAATTTTTGGATAGTGTCAAGTGTGGCCAGCCTGCCTTATTTCCCGCTAAAAAGTCTGTAATAAAAGAGCCTTGAAAATACTGAGGCTAAAGTCCTGTTGACATTCGAAATATATATCTCCAGACATGTTGGTTTGGTAGAGCGAACAATTGAGAGAAAAAATGCTGAGTAATGAAAAATGATAGCCTGTCTTAAACGTTGTCACAAAAGGGATGTTTTCGTGGAGTAAAATGTATCTTATGTGGGCTCGTAGATGACCGTGCTATGACAGGACGCAGTAAAGTGAACCCCTTTAACACTGACGAAACCGCGTTGAAATAGGGGCAGGATTACATGTCCTTTTGAGGGCTGACGATGCATTTTGCGTGACTGAGTGAACTGGTTTCCTTCTTGAATTTACCATCAACATCTTGTTTGCTTGGTTGGGTTTGAAAATCGCAATCGAAATCTCCAAAGTGCTTTTGAAAAGCAAAATCATTTTAAAGTCTGCAAGACATGCGCAATAATACTAGAGACCCAGCAGACATTGATAGCATTAAGACTTTAGAACCGTATCCGTCATCGGTTATGTAGTGTTAGGTAACGTCTTTAATTTCGTTTTTTTTTCAAAATGCAAATTCAAGATTACATGTCCCGTTACCTATCCAAGGGAGCATCCAGAACTGACGTTCTGTTCGCCGATCTTTCATCCGAACATCGACACTTTTTCGGGACGCATTTGTCTAAACCTTATCGATGAATGGCTTAGGTACGTCCTGGTTGTTGTTTTCCTCACCAACACTTTTCAGCACAGTTCACGCGAGTGCGGACAAGCAGGTCTCTGCCTGCAATGACGTAGGAACAGTTGGCATATAAAATATTTTAAATACCAACCGCAAACTCCTGTCACGACCCTGGTAACGACTTGTCAATATGGCGCTTAATTGCTGCAAGAGGAAAAGAATTCGGAATGTCTTGCAGGAAACCGAGTGACTGTCATAAAAGCTGACACGTTTAGTGTTGGGATACATGGATTCTAATAGGGCTGACCTGTTTTACATTACAATATCATTGAGGCATGTAGCTGATTTAAGCGTTGTCTGAATATGTAGCTGTTACAGTCTTCTGGATGTGGTGAAAGCTCTTCTCTACCTCATCAACAACCCGAATTTCAATGAGGCAAACAACAGGTTCGCCAACCTAAAAAACCCAGACCTTTTTGCGAAGAAGACAATTCGAATGCTGGCAGGTTTGCCGGTGAATGGGCAACGGTTTGCGCCGAACCAGGCATGATGCGAGTGGGCAGAGGCCCATGGATGCCTTCCAGTTGGCGAGGAAGAGGATGACGGCAAGAATGGCGAGGTGCAGGCGGTTTGTGTGGACGTCGGACAAGAATCAGACGATGAGCACGACGATGTCCTTGACGTCATTGCCTCTGCGTACAAAGTACGTGACGTGAGTCGTTGGTTTGGTGGCTGTTTATTTGCATCCAAATGTGGAATCAGTGGACAGTTTCCACCAGTATCCACGCAGTTTTCTTGGCGATCAGTTATAAAACCAATTTGCGATTAGTGTTTCAGTTCATATTTGTCTAAATCACTTAACGTTAATGACGTCGTGTGATAACTATTCCACGTAGCCTGCTGTTAATCCGCTTCATGTATGGTTAAAGAAGTGTCTTCGCACTACCTGATTCTACTGTTTCTTTCTACAGGAAGACGACAATGAAGAAATCAAAGGTGATACAGCCGTGTTTGACGACAATGTTCTCTCGTTTGCAAACATTCGATTCACCGTTGCTTCAGAGAACGAATCGCAACTGTCCCCACCATACGAAAGCGACAACATATGTCCATTTTTTGAGACCCAGCGTATTCTTATTTGGTATCCAGCAAATTGTTCCAATGCCAATACCCCCTCTGTGTTCTACTTCTTCGAGCCCCTTGGTGGTAATTTTTATTGGGTGAAATTTCGCGATCTTTACAACACGCTGTTTAACGGCAATGTGTTACAGTCGATGAAAACTCATCCTGAATCTAGACAAACATCGAGTCTCTGTCCGTGGTACAATTTCTTTTACCACGAGCCCCTTTCCTATCAGTCAAGCACCACTTCCTCCTCCAAACTATCCTTCTTCTTTTCTAAAAAAATGTTAATGGGGCCTGGATTGACCGACGACTTTTGTCCGTGGTCTCATGTAGACAGAGGAGGTATTTGGGACATCTTGAGTGGGATGTTTTGTGAGGAACGACAACGACTAAGTTGGACTGAGAACACGTCTGTGGAAAACAGTGTGGGTAGCCATGACACGGCTTTTCACTTCAACACCAGTTTTGAAGTGGAAGATAGTGGCAAAGAAGAAGAAAAAGAAGAGGAGAAGGAGGCCATTAAAGAGATAGCAGAATACCGTGATGCGGAAACACTGAAGCAGGTGGATGCGAATGAGGTGGAAGTGAAGGAGGATGTGGAAAAGTTGGAATCTAGTGGAAAAGCAAATTCGCTTTTGGAAGACCATAAAACATGTGATTTTGATGGCAGTGATGGAGTGCAAAGCAACATTGGTGAGGTTGAATTTGAGGAAGTTACCGCCCATGAGCAGGTCAATGTTCACGAGGACACGCAGTCATCGAGGTCTTCAGAAACATACAAAGAGGAAGATCCAGATTGGAATGACTTGGGCAAAGGTGGATACAGTACAAACAAATACTTTTGGTGGGTAGAAGTAATTAACATGGACATGCGGCCACAGTGGCATTGGTTTTTTCGTCAAACACGTTGGCCTTTTCGATTTGCTCCACAGCAGAATGTTGATGTGTCTGTGCATGAGAATCGTATCCCGCCATGGCGAGCGAGCGTCGGACGTCTGTTTTCTGATGTCTGCAATTTTTGTGAACAAAACCCCCAAATGCGAAATCTCATTCTTCTCGATCCAATGGTAGGTAATGCTTCAAGCGATTGTGGGTTGTTAAATCTCCATATTCTCGATTTTTTCACACCTGGTTTTGTATTTATTAGTCATGAACATATTCACAAAATTTGCTCGTTGAAATTAAAGTGATGGCCTGCAACCTAATGTGGTCAACAGGGTTTAATCTAATTTGAGCGTTCGAAATGTGTCATGTTATGGCATTGGTAAGACAGGCCCATCGACAGGCCCTTATTCGCTGCGTGTCACGAGGCATGTAGCCAGAAGGGTACGTGTATGGACATTCATCGCCTGTCAGTACGCAATTTAAATGACACAATAGCGTCCCAGCGAACACTAATTAAACTGCTTATTTTCATTTTTCGCCTCAGTTGAAAACTTAAAAAGCAGATACTAGTGCTTTTATTTGCAGGCCTTATCACCGCTTTCTCCACTGCTCAATCTGTTGCGACACTCCGTGGAACCAAAAGCTCACCTGACTGGTATTCTGTGGATGACCCCGATTGACGCCCTTTCCCCCTTCTACCGTGTTCCCATTCCTCGTCAAGAGGAGGACGCGGAGCAAGCGGTGGGTGAGCACGTCTATCCGCAACCAGGTTATCTGCGATTCCTCACTGTGGCCGCCTTTGTGTCCAATTGGTTTGCCTGGTTCTCTCGAGTTGAGATTTACTCGTCAATGGGGGTATCTCGTTTTTCGTCAACAGCCATGTCCGACTCCGTGGCAGGGTGTGTGTTACAGCCATACATTTTGGGATGTGGACAGATACCACTTATCGATCTGTGGCCGCTTTGGTTGGCTCGACGACTGCCACTCCTGCCCTTTCATTTACCTCGACTGTTTGGCAAGCACATCTCGCGACACTTCTTTCCCTTCACTGACTTGGATGAAATATGATTTTAGTCATATCGTTTATCTATTTTTGCTCTAACACTGGCTCTTACTCTCAGATTTTGTTATTTGTAGTTTTGTGCCTCCACATATACGTGATAAAGTAGGTTCAAATTTGTAATTATTGCTATCGCTTAGTTTCATGTGAAAGCATCAGGAAGCTGTATTTCGAAACCCAAGCGTGATGCAAAAAGTAGCAGATATTTTGAAGATGCGGCACATTTGAGCATCGCATCGCATACATTTGCCGAATTGTCTTGCGTTAATCTGTAAAACAGTCGACCAAGCACCCACGACTGCAACGACTTCAAATAGTTTGCTTGTTACATACTTGCACAGGTGAAGATACCTGCAGTGCTCCTTTTCAAGAAACAGCTGATATCAACTTAGCATTCACAATGTCTGTACCGTCCTAAAGCTGAATATCACAAAGGGTTAGTGGATTGGTGCAGAGATTACACAGACAGGTTGATAGTGTGACTTGCTGATCGGTGTTTCAGTAGATCGTCCGATTTTAGTCGGTCTTTGTAGGATGGACAAGTTACGTAACCTCAGACGACCTGAGTACGAACAAGGGCATGAGAACTGCCCTCTAGTTAAACAAAGACTTGATGCTAATTTCGTATGGACCTCTAAACAGATTTTTCCGGTTTTTCAAATGGGCGTCATCACCTCGATTAAGCAGTGGAATGTTTATCGATAAATGCACAGTGTCCATTTCACATTAAAGACAAATTTAAAATGGACTCGAATAATTGGGTAACCTGGATATACCAAATTTGGCAATAAATGCTACCACCACTGGCGAATTCCTGCCGAATCACTACCTACATCTGAAGTATGCCAACCAATTGAATCGGTCGCTTTTGACGTTGAGCATGTGGCGACGCCATATACCACTAACTACCTACCACGGATGAAGTCTGCGGAAGGACAGCGAGTCAATCGTTTATTCGAGAACTTAACGAAGCCGTGGTGGTGTGCGGGGTTTGCGCGTGTGTATTTATACCTCGAATGTGTGAGCCATAAATGCCCTAACATAGTGTGAGGATAATTCAAGTTAAATATCCTGGGGAATGAGAGGGGAGTTGAGGACTCGTGCGGCTGACGACACGCTGCGAAAAAGGGGAACCCTGTGTCGGAGGCGGAGCGACCGGATTAAGGGGTGTGAATAAACACGATTCACAGCAAGCACTTAAGCAGTTCGTGTAATCGATCAATCAGTCAAGTGAACGGAACTCATTTGCAATAATGAGTGGAGGCCCATTCCAGAAATTGCAGATTTGCGAACAAAAACACACACGCCCATCCAAAAAGTTTAAAAATGTGCTTTTGTTAAAATATTGATTGGGCTGACAACGATGTCGTCAATACAGCGACACTAACGTTTTCATATGGCGGTTTCACCGACATGTCTGACCGTCTTGGATTACGGCCGATGTTAGCAAAATTGTTGATAACACACACAGTGGTCATACCAATGTCCTTTTACAAGACGCATAAGGATGGTGTAAGTGGCTTTAGTACTAAGTTGTCAACTCAAAGTGAAATTTGGTTTTTCACATCTGGCAAATGTAAAAGGATTACCGCTAGCAGTAACTAAAAATGGGCTAGGTTAATGAAATGAGTTGGGGCTAGAATAGTCAATTGCGTTTAATATATTGAGAAAGTAAGAACGTGCTGCAAATTGCTAAACGCAAAATCACGAATCATGTGAAGCGTCTACTTAGCAATAGAGGTAAAGTAGACAAATGTGTGTAAACGCAGTCAGCCCTTTACTAAGGCAAAAAGCAAACATAAGCGTTTTTCAGTGTTAATTACTAGGTCTAGAATGAATTCCATTCAAGTGAGAATAGGTTACATGAATGCTAATCTGCTCAAACTGTAAAAAGGCTTTAAACGCATGTCATGAATAGCATAGTTGCCATCACCAAGTTGGTCGGGTCTAAAAATAACATAATTTGTAAATTTAGATTCTGTTTGAATAAGTAACTTTGATAAAGGTATGAAAAAAAGGGAAACAAAGTGTTTTTCAGTGAAAAAAAAACAAATATGTTGGCGCGGCATACTACAGATACTGCGCTAATTCTCATAAATATGAACATTTTTGCAATTTGACCTCATTAGCGTGTATCCCACTGTAATTTGTTGTACCACGAATACAGGTTGATAAAATCCAAACTGACAATGAGGGACTGAAACATTTGGGTGGTGGAACAAACACATATTGGGTAAATACGCCCAACGTGGATATTCGTTAGGCAAGAAATGTTTGGTGTGGTGAGTTGCGGCACAAGTGTCTATGCGACATACTTATTAACATGAGGTCAACTATAAGTAAATTCGGAGGACATGTTATTAACCTTTGGCTACAACGTCAGGATCATCAGCCTGCTAGGACTTCAGCTATCCTTGGGTCCAAGTGTGGCAAAATAAGTCAGGATATAAAACAAACAAACAAAATCCAGGAATGTCAAAGCAAAACATGTTTTTGAAACATGTTTGACTAACGGAATCCCAAAATCTACTAGGTGCGTGCCTTTTACTTTGCAAATATTTTTGAGCTTAGATAATGTTTAGAACGCTGAATAGCAATTCTACGTGATTCAGATAACCTATTAGAACAGCAATGCCTACGATGGCAACTGATAAAGTGCAACTTCAGCCCATCAAGGAAAGAAGGCTTCCAACGCACGGGAATCCATTAGCAGTGACATCAGTGACAACTTTGTGCCTTATAAAACACACTTTTGGTACCAACGTTTCAGAACTGGCGGTGTCGATTTTAGTGACCAGCCAAGACCCACATATCCTTGAAAGTTCGAAGACGAGGAATTCCGAGGTCTACTGAATGAATGCACAATACAAACGCAGCAAGAGCTTATACCTCAGTTGAAAGTCATCCAAATGACTATTTACCAGCGTTCGCGTCAAATGAGCAAATTGTGCATTGATTGATTACATATCTTTCACTGCTTGCCCGCCAGCAGCACAAAGGACTTTTAATGGAACATAGTGAATAGCGATTAAAATATTGTAGGTAGATCCCGAGCAACCCGGGAAAATCAACGCCGAGAAAGGGCATCTACTAAATAACAACTACCCTTTTACTTGAGCCTGAATGCATTAATACACTGATAAAGCCTGATACACCGTTTCCTGACTAAAACTGCTCAGCACACCATCGCTCGGATGCATGCAGCAACGTCTAGATATAACGTGATCGCTTACTTTGTTCGATTTAAATTAGCTTAGGAAAAAGAGTTAAATAATTGCTTACTTGTGAGACTCAAGCATTATTCGTAACAGGACAAAGTGGTAGGAGGTGTAATTGTAAGCTATTCCTGTCTAAAGCAAAATAGTGTCGGTCTACGTATTACTCTAAATCACCCATAGGCTAGATAAACTAATGCTATTGGAGTTGATTACTTAATTGGGTTATTTATAAATAACTCACACGATTAGCTTCCGATTATATGCAAAAGCAATATCAAAGTGCAGTGATACCTAACCATGTCACCCTCTCTTTGTGCATATTTCTCATACTTCCATTGTCTGTGAAACCAAACGTCAACGTGAGGCAGAAATTGACATCACTCCTACCAAACGCCAACAAAACAAAATGAGTCAAAAGCACATCTAAGTCTGCTTGATTGTGCTTTGTACAAGCACAAGGCCATGTTTAAATTGATAAATCGAACACCAAAGCTAAAATAGAAAAAATTAAGCAACAGGTGTTATATTTCATCGAAGCGGATGATGAAACGTAAAAAGCAAAGTAATTTTCAAGGGTCAAAAGGATGGTTTAAGTGGCTTCAATATTGAAGGGGTGGATGTAAGCCTGAGATAGATGACATTCGCGGGGCTAAACGGCTTAAGAAGGTGTTGGGGATCCACGATTCCCCAAGATCAGTTTCTGATTTTATTTACATTAATTTATTAACATTTGTTTTGTTACGCTTTTATCAAGTCAAGGTCAACCTTGACTTGAATTAGTTTTCGAATTACTTTCGATTTCACTTCTTCCCTGCACGTGGCTGGCGTGAATAAAGCTCTCTACTCGAGCTCTGTTCTTGTTCTGGTATTAGCCTGGGAAGGTCGGTTCTAGCTTTCAGCGAGGGATCTGGCACCGTTATTTGAGTGGTCTTCTCCATTGTTACGGACAAACGTAACAGAAGGAAGGCTGATTGATAAAATTGGTTTAAATCTACGGCTTAATCGATGTGATGAAGCACATTCGAAAGACTAGAACAAGCTGGTTTTTGAGCATCAAGTCTTTGTTTAACTAGAGGGCAGTTCTCATGACCTTGTTCGTACTCATGTCGTCTGAGGTTACGTAACTTGTCCATCCTACAAAGACCGACTAAAATCGGACGATCTACTGAAACACCGATCAGCAAG